ATTGGATAGCTTGGACCAATGGCGCTTTGCCATTGGTCCAAGCCATCCACAGAGCTCACGCCTCTAACACAGAGTAGAGGCTGTGACAGCTCTTGCCTCAATAGTTAGGTTACACAAGCAGTGGGGAAGCCCGCTGCTGTGTAACCTAAGTACCTGTCAAAAGCCAGATGCAGCGCTGCCTGTAATTAACAGGCAGCGCTACATCTATGACAGGTTACACAGCGGGGAGGATTTCCCTGCTGTGTAACCTGCTAGAAGCCGACCTGAATGGAGAAAACGTCAGCTTCAGACTTGAAGTTGACAGTTTTTTTCCTCCATAATACTAGGTGAGGCTCTGCCTCCCCTGACCGCACGTTCCTGATGGATTCGCTCAACACTAAAAAAAGTATAGAAGCTCCTTTGAGGAATGATCGCCCATTCTTGGCCCTATTAGACTACAATGGGAGCGCCTGAAAATGCACATTACGCATGTTTACAGGAAATTTGGACCTAATAACCATCTTTTCCGTCTAGCAACTAGCTTTTCAAACTAGTAACTAGCTTTGTGAAAAACGACCAAAGAAGTTGAGGCGCAGGTGTGAACGGGAATTCTTTATGGAGAACTAGAACTCTATGTACACATGACAAAGGTAGAAAATATGTCCCTGTCCACCCTCCAGGATCCTCTTACACCACCTCTCCTTCAAGCTCACCAAAATACCTTACCCACAAATAACCAGATATACAATATTGGAGTTAATGGCCTTAGTGGCCTTTCCTTTTTTTCCCCCACAAAATACAATGGTAAAAATACAAACGTAACACGTTTCATTTATCAGGAAAAATCAGGTTGCAGGTCTATGAAGGCACCATCGCCAACTCTGCCCCAAATTGCTGCAGAGGCCAACCCCATCCAAAGAATTCTAGGTCCACTCTAGTTGGCCATGATGAATGGAGAACTCCATACCAGAGAACGGTCCCCCAAATACACTCCAACCAGCATCAAACTTACCGTCTTCTCAGACCCCAAAACGTTCCCCCAACCTTCATTAACTGGAAAAAACAAACCCAATCCAAATGCAGGGCGGGTAGGAAGTTCACTTGCCTTAGGGTCAAATCTCAACTGATGAAGGAACTCTTAGCCACCTCAGCCCATACGAGAAACCCCACCAAAGAATATATCATCAACCAATAAGGTATATGACCTCCTTAATTGTAAGCTCTCACGTTAGGACCCTCCATACCATCTTGTCTTGAATTATATTGTAAGATTGTATTGTAACTGTGATGTCTTCCTTATATTGTAAAGCTTTGTGCAAACTGTTGGTGCTATATAACATTCTGTATTATAAAAATAATAAAAATAATAATCATGATGAGAATAATAATAATACAAACCTTTTAACCCTTTTGGCTCCCTGCTTTTTCTTTCCACCCTGCACCTATTATTTTTGCCTTTACTCCGGCCTATCTTGCCACACGGCACTTGAGATAAACATATTTCAGTAAATTCGTTCCATTTACTAAAATCATTTCATGTAGTATATATGTTTACATGGATGTGCTAAAAACAAAGAATTTCAGGGCTACCAATAAAATGTACCTGTTCAAAAACATAACGTAATACTGACAAAGCACATTGTTGCTTTAAAGAGAAAACAGATCTGGGACTTCCTGGTAAACACATGGAAAAAAAAAAGACCAGTGAAGCAATTAGGGAGGTCTATGATGTCTGTTTCCTTCTTTTTTTAAAGTAGCAAATGTCCCTTCCTTTTCTTTGAATCGTGTGAGCCTTGCAGGGGAAAGGAGAAAAATAGCTTAAAAAGTAAAAAAAAAAAATTGGTAACAGAGGGCTCATGCAAGCACATAGATCCGTCCCCATGGCCTGAGGCCTAACCGTGTTGGCTGCCTGCCTAAAACTCAAAGAAAAGAAGACTAAAGCAGAGAGGTACTAAAATAACCTCCTCAGCAACAGAAGTGGAATGATCTAACCAATCCTGTGAACTCAGCCAAACTCTGACACCGTATGGAAAGCAGAACAAATATGCTCTGTATCTCGCAGCCGATTTCAACGGCATATTCAAATCAGTCAACAAAAACAAACGTATAAAGTTATCCAGTCATTATATGGCAGATGTTAGAAGAACAAAGACTGTCTTTCA